TTCTCTTATTTATTTTGCATACAAAAAGAAAGAAAAAAATGCGAGTGGAGGGAAATAAAAAGGGGTTGATTATGGTCACTAGCAAATTGGTAGTACGACGAACAACAGCAACAACAGCACAGCATCCACCAACACCAACACCCACCCACCCACTGGCGTCCAGCTTCGGACCAACCGTCGGCAAGGACAAAACAAAAAGAGGAAAAGTGGATGATTTTTCTGTATTTATTTATTCCTTTTTTTCAGTTTTTTTTTTTTTTCGCTGGTTTTATTCGCGAGCAATTTTCGCCGCTAAGATTTTGGTCTTGTGGAATACATAGGCTGGTTATATGCTATATAAAGGGGGAGATCTAAATAAGATTGGCAGCGGGTTTTGGGGGGGTTAATGGGATGTTTGGTGATGGCGATGGCTGCCCGTGGCCCCTGCATTTCGGTCTGTTTCTAATGGTTTTTAAATTTCGTAATATTTCAATGTCATTTACGACTAATGCGCAATGCGAACGCGAACGCGAATGCCAGGCACAAAATCTATCGTCAAACAAAAAAGTACAGTTGATCACAAAAAGAGTTGAGTTCCGCCCCCACCCCCCTGCAACCAGGCTTGGTACTTATTTCTCTTAATTACCCCCCACCCCAATCAACACAAAAAAAAGGAGGCCATGTGTTGGGACAGTGGGAGGGAGGCAGCGGCAGTGGCAGTGGCAACCGACAGTTGACATTGAATTTTAGAAGGAAAACTTTTCAATTGAATTCGGGAATCCAGGAGCAGAAGCGGTCGAAGCGATTGCGGCTTTTTGGGGGGCTGTAGGCAGCGTGGGGCTGTGAGGAAGTGAATGAAAAATTTAAAAGCCAGCAAAAACACACACAAGCATAAATAACACACACATAGTCACACACACACATGCATACAAAAATGTTGTCAAATAAACAAAATAGAGGGACAGACAGACAGACAGACAGACAGACAGACAGACAAAACGATTCGCATGTTTTTCTCTTCACTTTCCCTTTTTTTGTATACTCTTTTTGGAGGGTATGTGCAGGAAGAGCCTGTGTCAAAAATATATATGCAAATAAATCGAAATATATATCTAGCTGATAGCTGATATAACTAGTCAATGGAAAAAGGAAACAAGAAAGAAAAATGTAAGGGTACAAAAATGTTTATGGTGTATTTTCTTGCATCTTAAACAAATGCCCTCGTAAACGTTTATAATTTGACATTTTTTCATTGTTTTTTTCAGAATTGCAACACTTTAGCTGCCATAAGAACGAACACGCTTGTCAGTGCCGGAAACACTTCCATAATTTCCGGATAAGTAACCCTCAAACCTCCTCCTTCTAAAGCTGCTTTCCAAACGAAATTAAATATCAAAAATCAAATAAAATGTGTAAAAACCAAATGTCAAATCAAAATAAGAGTTTTATGTCAACCAAAAAATAAATGAAAATCGTCTGACTATATCAGTTGGATACCATAGATCTGCAAGAGTATCTGCAAAAGCTGTGCCAGCCATTTGAAGACTTTCTTTCTCAATTTTTTTTTCGTTTTGAGTTTTGGGCATTCGAAAGAAGTGAAAGTGCATGGCAGGGGCGAGGCGAGGCCAAGAAAGTGGGAGTTGGAGGTGGATAGAGGTACTCACACCCACACACACATAAGGAAAGGGGCAAAGGCAAGGTCCAGACGAAAGTGAATGTCAAATGGGGGTAGCAACAGACACACGCACACACACACAGACACACACACTCCCACTCCCACTCCCATACACCAACGCGTGCCACACATGTGGCAGAAGCTAAAGAACGTAATCGCACGTAAGTCCTGACGTCCAGTAAAAAATGCAAAAAAAAAACACAAACACACAAAAAAGCGAAAACGAACAACGAAAAGCGAAAACAAGAAAACGAGAAAGCTGCCACATGGAAAGAGCGAGAGAGAGTTCTGCGTAAAAAATTCATGCGTGCGTATGTGTGTGTGTGTGTGTGTGTGTGTGGCAGGCCACCCCAGCAGCATCACCCCCCCACCCATACAATGCCAATCCCCTGCTCCTGCTTCTGCCCCTGCCCCTGCCACTGCCCACACGTCTGCGTCAGTCACAAGTCATTGAATGTCCTTCGCCGGCAGCTGCTGGCAATTCCTGGCCAATATATCCAGACATCAACGCGCTTCAAATTTCAATACATATATTGCATAATGCAAAGATCAAAGTTCCCTGCCTGGCCTGGCCACTCTACATGCCAGTGCAGAGTGCGGGGGGCTGGCACTGCGCAGGGAGGGGAATGAGATTTAAACTTGAAATTCATTTGGACAATTGAAAATGCTGTAGGAAGGAGGCGGGGGGGGGCCCACACTTAAACGATTTAAACAGATCACAAGACCAAAGAGCTTAAAGTACGAAAATATATGTATGTACATATGTATGCATGTACATATGTATGTATGCATTCCTCTGGGAATTTCCCTAAACCTAATTTTTATTTGAAGTGAATTTTGTCGTGGGTGGTTGGAAAATACACAAAACACACAGAACTTAGCTGGCCAACTATATTTCTTGTATTCCTCATTGCACTTTAGGTGGATATTGCCTTGCAGCTATTCTCTTTTCGTGTTAAGATTTGGTTCGCTCTTTTTTGATTGGAACTCTGTGACTCAATCATATCATGCGTAGCTGCTTGAAGATTATTAGCAAAAAGGGCAGGCAGGGCAATCCCTTATAGACTGCGCAGGTGGACGGGTGCAAAGGGACTGTAGCGGCACGCTGCACATTAGGTATGATTCGGTCCTACCACAGGCACTTGACGCCATCGAAAAACCATGCGACCCCTAGTCGTATATATGTATGTAACCCAATGTTCCTTGGATCAAATATATAAAATGCAAAAATGTACGAGACACTTTTTCTTATTTCAATTTATTTTTTGTTTCATTTGAATATTAATTAATTAAGACAACACAACAATAAGAAAATTAGCTTAATAAATAGCAACATAAAAAAAACAGAAAAAAAAAAAAATAAAAATAATAATAAAATTAAATAATAAGTACAAAAACCAGTAAATATACAAATACTAAATAAAATAAAATAAAACAATATTAATATTAAATATTTAAAATATAATAAAACTATTAGCATTAAAATAGAAAATTTACAGATTATATTAAAAGGAAATTAATCACGATTAAACAAATGCTAAGCATTAAAAACCAAAAGTGGAGCGTGAGCATATGGGGTCAATTAATTTCCTATGCTTTAGCAGGCCATGCCTTTTGTATATTTTTCATCCAAAATTAGTCGGGCAACTAAGTAGGCCTTGAGTTGGGCTGTCGTTGACATGCCCAGACGGGTACGTGCTCGTTTCCAGTTTCAGTATCAGTGTTCAGTTGTTCATAGTTGAGAAAACAGTGCAGTTCGTAAAACAGGTGAAAAAAAATTTAAAAACAAATAAAAATTTAATTGTGTCAAATAATTGAAAAAAAAATTTGATTTTTGGAAATATTTTTGCAGTTAAATTGTTCACAAACAACAAACAAAATGTACAGAGGCGCAACGGGCAACAAGCCGAACCTGCTGCCCATCGGGGCGGAGCGGGCCATCCGTATGCGGACATCGAACACGCTGAACCAGAAGTTGCGCACAACAACTGGCGAAGGCCACACGACCGGCTGCGCCGACCTCACACCCGAGTGGGGCCGTCCCTACAAGACATACTTCAAAGCCACCAAACTGACATTCGTCCCACCACTGGCGGATATGCGGGACTCCGCGGAATTAAGGCGCCACAAACAGAAGGAGGAAGCGAAGAAAAAACGCATTCGTCCAGCAGCGATGAATCCACACTGAAGCCAGAGTGTCCGGAATGCCCCATGCCCCACAGCGCACAGCCGACTGCAGCGGACATCAGCAAGGACGAGGAACAGCAGCGGAACAGTTCGGCACAGCCCGATCAGACAGCACAGCCAAAGCCGCAAAAGCAACGCATTGGCTCGAATGCCACGGAAATTCCACGAAAAGCAACGCACGGGCGGCCATCGAAGTTTGGCCCAGAGCCGCCCAATGGCAGGCAACTCGAGTACACCAACGAGATTCTGTACAACGATCTGGTGAAGGTCCAGAAGAGGAGCTGCAAGCTGGCCCAGTACATCAGAGAGGCGCTGCCCACGCACAAGCAGCGCCAGCTCTTCCAGCAGGAGATCATCGGCCAGCATCTGGTGGCCGAGCGTAAATTTTGCGAGCTGCTCGAGGTGCGGCACAAGGCCATATTTGAGTGGTTGGCCAAGCATCCGCAGGAGGCAACGCAGAAGAAACACAAGCCCAGGCCGAATCCGACTGAGACACAGGCGACCCAGCACCCGAATCAGAAGAGGAAGGAGCCGAAAAAGGCTGACAGCAAGCCCAGCACCGAAGGAGTAAGCAGATTATTCGGGATCAGACTCAGTCTCAGGCCCAGAATCCTTTGACTCAGGCCCCGAATCACTCGAAGAGCCACAGTCAGAAACAGAATAAGAACCAGAATGAATCCCCGAGCCAGAGCAAGATTCATGGCCACAGTCACACCCACAGCCACAGCCACACCCACACCCACACCCACAAGCACAAGCACGTGGGACGTGCCAAGAATGGGTCCTGCTATTCGACACAAAGTTGTCCCATGTACCCAGGCTGTCCGCAGGGCTCTTCATCTGGGATTCTGGCAGCATCGTCGTCGGAGGCGCTGCCCCGATCTGTCTCGGGTACGACGACGACTCAGCAAGGCGCTGCACCGCGCCAGCACCATGGTCCATGGTCCGTGCATGTGTCCACACCACGCAGTGGCCGGGAGCCCTTTATGGTCCACGCCAAACACTGTTGACGGATCTTCGCTCTGGTCCATGAGTGGATCGTCTGTTGGTGCTGGCCCCCGATCCTGGGGTCTACATCCAGCCCTGCAAGGATCTCTGTTTTCCACGCCACCAATTGTGGCTGAGAGCTCGCCAATCAGCTCGCCACCTTCTGATGCCGATGCCGATGCCCAAGGGTCGGCAGAGGACTCCACGGAAGGCTCTTCCGCAAGGCACTCTCAAGGGTTCACCACTGGCCACAATACCCGGATCGCCGGCGGACACGTCTCAAGGCTCTTCGCAGGGAACGCTTCACGGATCTCCAGAGGAACTTGCAGCAGCGACGCCCATGGCCACGCCCATGGCCACGCCCCAGGCAACCTCCGAGGCGGCACCACAGCTATCGGATCCCCAAGCTCCTCCGGTGGATCCAAAAGCAATCGCCCCTTGGTGTCGGCACGAAAATTGCACTGGAGGAGCTTCACACAAAGCCAACGGAGCCGCGGCCCCGGCGCTGCTGTACCAGGAGCCCAGCCAATGGCCGCCCATAGGAGCGTCAGCGCGCTCCACGTCTGGAGGAGCCACCGCCTCCGCAGCCCTGCCGGCTGCTGCAGGCCTGCAACGCGCCAGCTCATCGACTTCGCTGGGACCGAATCCCTGGCCACTAATTGGGGCACCATCGCGGCCGCCATCACGTGCCATGCCACGCAACGCATCACGGGGACCAGCACGAGCCACATCGCGTGGTCCAGCACGAGCCACATCACGTGGTCCGCCACGGGCTAGCTCACGCGGGCCACAGCGCAGGTCTCAGCGCTCCACCTCGCGGGCCCATCGACAGCCGCATCCATCCGTGGTGCTCGGCTGTACACCGTGGGCTCACGTCAAGGCTGCCGCAGCGCCCGGCGGCCTGGCCAAGCTGCATGCTGTTGCAGATCAGCACAAGCTGCACGCGGCCGCAGACTACAGCCGCTTCAACAAATACGAGAAGCACGCCGCAGACTACAGCCGCTTCAACAAATACGAGAAGCACGCCGACGGTCAGCGCTTCAGCCACTACAATCATCACAGCTATCAGAATTTGCACGGCAGCAGCAACAGCCAGCAGAACAGCAACAATCAGAACCAGACCAAGAGGATCTACGGTGGCGTTCCCAAGACCGAGCCCTCAAGCCGCATGTACACGGGCATCCTGCCACCACCGCCGCGCGTCCCGATGCCACAGGCCAATCTACCGACACCCCACATGCTGGAGGATCAACAGCTTGGCCTGGCCATGTCCAAGCAACTGTCGCTGGCACACACCCGCCAGTACACGGCCATACAGAAGCGTCCGCAAATAATCAAGAAAGGCCGCACTTCCGAGCCCGATCGCAATCCGGACACCCCCAAGCCGAAGGGGCCCGCCAACTAACGAACTCCCCACCCCACATTCAGTCAACGAAGACATCAAGATAGCCCAGTAATATAGCAAAAGATGGAAGCAGCATTCCACTTTTAACAGCACGAAGACAAGAAGAGTAAATTCCGCAGTGTATCGAGTTTCGGAGCAGACGAAGAAGCATTTCAAAATCTGATCAATATCAATGCAACGAGCATTTCAGTGCAACGTTTTCTTTTTTCGTCGATTTCCCAAGAATTATATACAAACATTTCCGCACACTTTCAAACACGAAAGATTTCGAGTTTGTTTTTCTTTTGTTTGTTTATTTCAATGAGCTTTTCCGTGCAGCCTGCCAAGGCCATTTTTGGGATCAAAAGCAGCTTCCTCTGACTACAGTTCTGAAATCTGTTTAAAGTGTTTTTATTTTAAGTGTTTCATCTCGTTTCTTTTCTAAATTCGATTCGTGTTTTCGTCAAGCTCAAACGTGATATATTTTGTATGTGCCTGTTCCCCGTTGATTGGCACACTCGCCACCCAACCCATCCACATATGCCACACATGCTGCCAGTCGCCCACTTCCACTGCCCCTTGGAGCCACCACTGCGCTCATCCGCAACCTGCCTACTACTACCTCCAGCTGCCTGGCTGCCTGGCTCCCTGGCTTCTGTGGTCCGTAGAAGCAACGCTAATTTCCAAAGCTTTTTTGGCCAACGGCGCTTATGAGCTCTCGGCCCATGAAGCTCACATTACGTATGTAAAATAGTGCAGAAAACCCACCGTACCATCACCACCAACGAATGCGGACTAGCCCTGCCCCAGCCTCTACACTTGGGCCCCCTGTGCCTGGCCTTGATTCTGGTTTTGGTTCTGCTGCTGGCCCACCCCTCCTTAGGCTTAAGGCACAACTTACGCACTTTACATATAACAACAACAACAGCAACAAAACGACAATAAAGTCGAAGCTTTAGATACACTCGCCACAAAAATGCAATCACATGGGGGGCTAATCGAAGTTGGGCCTAGGAATATCTTTTGTTTGGCTGCTTGCAGAGCGGGTTACGTGAATAAATTAAATTTCTGCTACAAAATAAAATCAGTGAAAAACTCTGCAGCAGACTAGACCATTTATTGGCCACTTCGTAGCTTACTTTGGGATGCATTTTCGCAATTTGTTAACTTGCAGTTGTTGCGTTTGAGATCAGCGCTCGAAGCTGATTACTTGCTCCCAAGTGTTGCCAATACCCGCAGCAAGAGTATACTCGTTTGAACAGAAACAGCATGGGGGAGGGGAGCGGAAGGACTGCCTGGCACAGGACATCGACAGAGAGCGAGTGAGAGAGGGAGGGAGGTGAAGATATGCCGCACTGGCAGGGGGAGGCTGCTGGGCAATGGCTTTTATTGTAAGTTAAGTTGATGCCATGCCCATGCCCCAGCCCATGCCCCAGCCCATGTGTGTGTGTGTGTGATGTGTATGTGTGTGTGGGGGACAGGCGTCCCGCCTTCCGTTTGGCATTTCGCAAATTTTGTCCGTTTCGTGTGTTCGGAAATTTAAAATGTTCTCTGTGGAAATTGGTTTAGCTATGTGTGTGTGTGTGTGTGTGTGTGTGTGTGTGTGTGTGTGTGCTTGGGGAGGGTGGGTGCTGAGTGGGTGTTGGCTTATGTAAGGCAGGTGGGTAGTTGTGTGTGTGTGTGTGTGTGGGTCCAATGTCCTAACTTTCTCTACATAAACATCACAGAAATATAGACAGAGATGCCTGCCTGATTGTATGCCACACTCGACTTGAGATTCTCAATTCAAAAACTATGCATATGTGTGTGTGTGTGTGTGGTGTGTGGTGGTGTGTGTGTTTAGGTAAGCAAACTTATGCGCAAGTTTTTTGTTGTCCAATTTTAGTCCATGCTACTCAGTTAATACTTGAAGCATGGCACCGTGTGCTGAAAGAAATCAGATGCAGATTCAGATTATTTATTTATTTATTTAATAACTTACTATAAGATTTAAACCGTATACATATATACATCCAATTTGCATGTACATATAATGTAAGTGATGATAAACTAGCATCACCTTCAGCTGGCAGCTTCAGCTTAAGTGTAGCCCCATGCTTTGATCTTGAAATTTGTACAGGAAAATACATTTGTTGAAAGAGTTCTTGGCATTTGTGCATTCCAGCTAGTGCTTCCACTTAGTTAAAATCACCAAGAGTAGTAGGTGATCTTAACTGTTTCACTTTGAGATATTTGCCCCGATCTACAGCCCCATCCCCAGCAGATACATATCTGCTTTAAGATAGATCTTCAGTCATCTCCCAACTTCAGTGCCATTCTGCTCCGACTGCGGCTGCTGCTATCTATAGCTATGTACCAGCCCGATCCGACTAATGCTGCTGTCCTTATATGCTTATATCATCTGCACTGAAATTCCAACCCCTTTGGTCCCACTGTTTTCTGTGCGCCTCGGGCCCTTGCTTTGTGTTTTGATAGTGGAGCGGATAGTTTGGCTGGCCATAAATTAGTAAGCGTCCTCTGTAGCTTACCAACCTATACACATACATCCAATTTGCATGTATATTATGTACATGTACACGTACACGTATGGATGCATGTATGTATATGCTGATGAGCATGTTTTGTATATACATACATACATATAATGGCCAAGTCAGCGACACAGTTTGAAAGGATTAAACTCTGTTTTTGTAATTAAGTTGAAATTTATAATCAAGGCGAGTTCTTGTTTGTCTGCCCCAAGGGTTGCGGGGCGGGCCGGAGCGGAGCGGGGGGTCAGTGCCAGGCTGTGGGGTTGCCTGCTGTACCTCGTGTATATGTATGTATGTATGTGTGAGTTTACGGATAGTTTGGCTAACTTCTGGTCATGTGTGTGTGTGCTTGTGTGCCTGTGTTCTTACAGCACACTATGGTCCCAATGACCACTTTTTTTGGCCAAAACCCATATTTCAAAAGATAAAAAATAACCGTGGTTTTGATCACTCTGTATTAGAAAAAGAGTGAGCTTATAAGTTGCGTACCAGGAATTTCCATAGATGGCGCCACATTCGCAAAATCAGCTGTGCAACCCAGCTGTTGTTGCCGACAAGCACGCGCAGTGAAAAAGTGTAAATTTAATTACAGTTTTAAATCTCTCATAAATTGAAAAATACGATTAGCTGATCAAATTTTTTGATTGAATCTTAATTTGTTGGGTTTTTACTACGTGTTTTGTATTGTTAACTGTATCTCGTAGTTGTGATGTCTTAGTACTTTTAGGTTAAAATTAGTCCTTTTTTTTAGCCAATTTTGATTGAAAACTGATTTTTGAAAAGATATATTTAGTGAGTCCCACCTAGTCCCACCTTGAAATCTATTGTGTGATGTAAATTAATAAATTCTTGTTGAAATGTATATAGTAAGAAATACCACATTTGACCACAAATCTTAAAATTTTCATTAGTAGAATATAACCTCAAAATCAACAATACAGCGTTGTTTGGCGTTCTATTTTGTGCTAAAACAATAAGTTGAATGCCCAGAGAAGGCTTAATTGATTTGCAAGGCTGTACAGAACCCAGTAAAAAAGCCGCAAACTTTCTGACCCAACGAGCACCCTGGAAAAAGCGTTTTCCACCCTGACACAAGGGTTTTTTCTTGGGTGGAGCAATTAAAAAAAATTTTTTTTTCTAATCAAAATTTGTGTTGTTTTTATGCGTGCCACGCCTTTATAATTTTAATAAAAATTAGTTAAGCTAATTTCTTAATAAAACTGTTATAATTACTTCCTATTCCCTATCATTAATTATTTTTTAATATGCAATTAAAAAAAGGCGGTGCCTTTTTTAAATATTCTTCCAATTGATTATATACAACAATACACGAAACTAATTTGAAAAATCTTGTTTCGCTTTCGAGTTATTAATTTTGGCCAACAAAAGTGGTTGTTGGGACCATAGTGCAGCATTTTGTCTTATGCAAAGTAGTTTTCAAGTTGTGCGACCACAGACAAACAAATGGGGGATGGCCACAATGGAGTGGGGGAGGTGGGGGAGTGGAGTGGAGTGGCGAATGGCAGGCATACCCTGGCAGAGGGTACTACAATGTTTATCAAAGCTGTTGCAACACCGTATGCAGCGTATTCATCCATCTGTGTTGCATGTCTTCTCTTTGTTTTTATGCATAAATTTGAAAACAAAAAAACTGCTACAGTTCCATGTTTAAAAATAAATATCTAAAGCCAGTCTACAGCCTCATGCAGCCATGCAAGGAGGGCATACAAAATTGTTGCCCGTTTAGCATTTTCGTTTCTGGTTGCTGGCTTTTTTCTGGTAACTTTGGCATTTGCACGCCTCAGCGCAATTCAACAAGATCCCCACCATCGCAAGTCACCGAAATCCAAATCCGTAGCATACTTTTGCGGGCTGCATGTTTAATTTATGACCAAACACACAGCACACACACACACACACATGCCTGTCTTTTTGTGTGTAAAAGTTTAGCAGCTACTTGTTTTTTTCTTTTTAAAGGTGTACAATTTGAGAGTGTGTATTAATATTTGCAACGACGAACATTGAAATTTGGGGAATAAAGTTTTGCAGCCATAGAAAAAAAGTATAAGTGACAAATCGAAAAAGTAAAATGCAAAATCATGGCTCAATTTTTATTTAGTTTGTTATCTTTTTGCGGTATCGACATTAGCATCGTTTTCTGCCAGCAATCAAATCGCTCTTTTCTATCTCGCCTCTGTTTAATGTCTGGTTTCAGTAAACGGCAGCCGCCCAATCGGCAGGACTAAAAGGGTTGTTTTGTCCTTGTCCGCCTTTGACGGGAAGCATAATGTTTTAAAAAAGAAAATCATTTAAAGAGTAAAAGACAAAGGAGGCCGAAACGGGAAAGCAAAGATGGACAAAATTTCCTACTTAAAAAAAAAAAGAAAAAAACATAAAATGTAAGGAAAACGAACAAAATTGGCCAACAGCGAATCAAATGGGAACAATAATCGACAACATTGGAAATGAAAAGTTAAGGGAAGATTTCCTTCTATTTTTTGTTCCATCACCAATCCT